AAGTTGGAGAATTCAGAGTAATTATATATATAATAAAAATTCAGTTTCTTGAACTCATTATATTGCAAGATCAACCTCCGGATAAAAACATCAATGGTTCTAAGCATATATTTTGTTGTTGTTGCTGTTGTTAGGTGTCATTGAGTCGGTACTGACTCATAGCAACCCTATGTACAACAGAACAAAGCACTGCCCAGTCCTGGGCCAACCTCATAATTGTTTCCATGCTTGAGCCCATTGATGCTGCCACTTTGCCAATCCATCTTACTGGGGGCCCTTGCTCTTTTTCTCTGACCCTCCATCTTACCAGACATGATATCCTTCTTCAGCGACTGTTCCCTCCTGGCAATATGTCAGATTGGCCCAGGATCGGGCAGTGTTTTGTTTTGCTGTGCATAAGGTTGCTATGGGTCAGTTCCGACTCAATGGCACCTAACAACAACAACAACAAAAACAATACAAAGGATATCAGATATTATGTGTTCCATTTCGTTTTTATGAGTTCTAATATTCCTAGATTCATGGTTTGTAGATTCCACATTCTTATTATTAATGGCTATATGAAGTTGTGTCTTTTCATTTTTGAGTTGTTCCCTCTCAACAAATACTGATTCCCAAAGCTTTGCTCCATCCACATCATTAGATCTACTCTACTTTGATGAGGCAGCTCTTTCCCAGGCATATTTTGAGTGCCTTCCAATTAGAGGGTTCTTGCATTGTATCATACACCATTTTGTTGCTATTTATAAAGATTTTGGAGACTAATCCCTATTTCCTCTTCCTTGTCTGTTCTTAATGTGGAAGCTTTTCTGAAACGTGCCAAACATGGGTGACTCTGATGGTATTTGAACACCAGCTGTGTAGTTTCCAACAGCAGCACAGTATGACAAACTGACAGATGAATAACACAGGTCATCATTAGTTGGAACCAACTACACTTGCAAATAGCAAGAACAACAACCACTGCTAGAGCCCAGAACACTTATTTTGTCCCTTTCATAGTCTTTACCCTCTTCCTGAGGAAAATTCAATCTCATTCTCTTTTGCTTTGTGCAATCACTAAAATGTCAAATCTCAAGCTGTTGTTATCAGTAGGACCCATTGGTATATGTGTACTATGTGCTTTACTTTCCCTTGATTATAAATATGTTACTAATAGCAATAGCTCTGGTGACATAGCTCTAGCTGCAAGTTCAATAGTTCGAATCCACCAGCCACTTCACAGGAGAAAGATGAAACTTTCTGCTCCCATGTTTATAACTTGAGAAACCCTATGCATGGTTGCTATGAATCAAAACTGACTTGACAGCCCACAGCTACCACCACCACAATTAGGTATCTGTTCAGATCATTTGTCTATTGCTGAATTGCTTTAAAAGTTCTTTGTGTTTCTTAGATGCAAGTTCTTATCCCATGTACGTTTTGCAAATATTGCTTTCCAGTGCCTTGTGTGTCTTTTCAATTTCCTTAGAAGTTTTCTTTAAATCCTTTAAATGTCAGGCGGAAGATCTTTTGCTGGGACATTGTTATCTAGTTTAGTTCTCTACCTTCCATCATCCTAAATTTATGTTTATTTTCTAATTTGAAGAAATGCTGGTAGTATTTTGGTTTAAAGCTTGGCTGTTAACTAAAAGATCAGCCTTTTCAAAACCATCCATTGCTCCACTAGAGAAAGACATGTCCATCTGCTGTTCTGAAGATTATAGCATTGCATCCCCCATGGGGTGGCTCTATTCTGTCACCTGGAGTCTCAAGGAGTTGGAATGATCTCAATGACAATGAATTTTTCAAGTGTTCTTAATTGGGCCTTGATCAGATGAGGTATAAAAAGGAACCTCCAGATAAGCAGTAAACCAATTATAATTACATAGGGAAGGAGAAAGCTAAAACTTTTTTAAAAACCTTTTATTTCCCCTCTTATACCCATTCAGCCTATGCCTCCATCTCTGTATCACAGAGCCCTGTTGTTCCAAGGTTGAGTATATATCACTATTTACCTCTAGTAAGTCTATCCTCTCTTCTTGGTTCTTCCACCCTCCACCCTCTTCATGTGTATTGCCCTTCCATTCCTTGCATATTGCCCTGCCTATCACCAAAGTACCATGTGCCTTTACCCTAACCTGTGCCTACTGTCCTCTCCTTCACACCTGTGTTGTTGTTATTAAGTGCCATGGAGTCGGTTCCAACCCATACTGACCCTGTATAGGGTTTCTGAGGAGTACCTGGTGAGCTTGAACCATCCACCTTATAGTTGAAACTGACAACAGCTGTGAGGTTGGCCCAGGACCAAGCAGAGTTTTGGCCTACTGTGCATAGGGTTCTGTGAGTCAGTACCTACTCAATGGCACCTAACAGCAATGGCTAATTATCATGAGCATTTTTGTTGGCTGCGCGAATGTCTTCCTTGGTGAAGGGTCTGTTCATGTCCTGCATCCATTTTTTTAATTGGTTATGTCTTTTTCTTGTAGAGGTGTTATAGTTTCATATAGATTTTAGAGACTAGTCCCTTGTCTGATATGTCATTGAAAAAAAAAATAAATTCCCTGACTGAAGGCTCCATTTTTACTCTTTTGGTGAAATCTTTCAATACACATAAGTTTCTACTTTTTAGTATATCCCAATCATCTCTTTTGTCTTCAATTGTTCATGCAATTTTTTTCAATGGTTGACAGTCCTTGTGTGGTCTGTTTTTAGAGCCCGTAATTTTGTCCCTATTTTTTCATTAATGACCTGTATAGTTCTAGGACTTACATTTCAGTTTTTAATTCATGTTAAGTTAGTTTTTGTATGTGGTGTGAGATCAATGTCTTGTTTCATTCTTTTGCATATAATTTCCAGTTTTGCCAGCACCATCTGATGAAGAGACTATCTCCTCCCATTCAATGTATCTTGACCCTTTGTCAAAAGTTAGTTGATTGTATGTAGATTGTATAGATTAACTTCTGGGTTCACAATTCTGTTCCACTGATCTATGTGCCTTTCATTGTATCAATACCAGGCTGGTTTATTTTTACTTTTATTTGTGTTTTATTTTAAGCTTAATTGACTCACAAGTCATATGTTTTTGTTCCTTCAGTTTCTTCTGATATTTTTTTTTTCTTCTGTGCAACCTCCTCTTCTGGTTTAGGAACAATTTGCTCCTTTTCAGTGAGGATCATCTCAATGTGGCAGGGGGAGCTCGTGTAAGGGTGGATCCGACCATGAGCTCTGTAAATTCGGCAGCACATCTTGGGGGTTTTGTTGACCTGGATGTGCTCAATGCCCAGAGAATCCATATGTAAATCCTTCAGTTCAGCATTGCTCTCTGCCTTTTTAAGCATGTGCAGCAAAACTTCAGTGCTCTTTTTGGGCCACCGACCCTATGTCCAACCCCACTGTTTGGCCTGGTCACACCCACCAATGCCACCACTGTAACGTCAGAACAGTACACATGACTTCTGCAAAGTGACATCTTTAAGATACTTGGTGGCTTTCCAGATATGCATACCCTTGATGGCCTGAGCAGACTCACGGGTGTTCTTAAAATGGACCCAGAGATTTGAACCTCTGGATTTGCATGATTTATGGGATTTTCTGGGTCAAAGGAGTAGCGAACCATTTTGTGAGATTGGCTCAGTCCATTTTCAAGAAGAGCTACCAGCCAGTTTTGACCACTGTATCCCATGTGGTAAATTTTGAAATTAGGAAGGGAGAAGCCTCCTACTTTGTTCTTCTTCTTAAGCAGTGCTTTGCTTATCCAAGGACATTTTCCCTTCCATATAAAATTTGTAACTGTTTTTTGTTCTATCTCTTCAAAGAGTATATTGTTGGATCTGGATTGGGATTACGCTATAGCTGCTGATTTCTTTGGGTAGTATTGACATTTCACAATGTTAAATTGTCCTATCCAAGAGCATGATATATTTTTCTGTTTTTGTAAATCTCTTTTGGTTTCTTGTAGTAGTGTTTAGTAGTTTTCTTTATATATATATTTTTTGTTTCTCTGGTTATGTTTATTCCTTAATATTTTATCCTTTGGGTGTGTATTATAAATGTACTGTTTTCCTAATTTCGTTTTCATGGCTGTCTTTAGAAGTATAGATGAACTCAACTGATTTTTGTATATTGATCATGTACCTTACCACTTTGTTGAATCTTCCTATGAGTTCCAGTTGTTGTTGTTGTTGTTGTTGTTATGTGCCGTGAAGTCTGTTCCGACCCATAGCAACCCTGCATATGGTTTCTGAGGCTGTAAATCTTTACAGGAACAGAAAGCCTCATCTTTCTCCCTCGGAACAGCTGATAGTTTTGAACTGCTGACCCTGAGGTTCACAGCCCAATTCGTAACTACTATGCTACCAGAGCTCCTTAGGAGTTCCAGTAGTTTGTTTTTTTGTTGTTGTTGTTGAGTCTTTGGTTGTGTTTTTTTTAATGTATAAGATCATATCATCTACAAATAGAAAGAGTTTTACTTCTTCTTTCACAATTTTGATGCCTTTAATTTCTCTTTCTTGCCTTAGAGATTTGGATAAGATTCCCAACACAATATTGAATAGGAGTGGGGGAAATGTTTCCTTCAATTGCTTTGCATTTATAATTCTTTGCAAGTCTTGATAAAGAAGTGTTAAAGAATAGAAAGAAAGTACATGGGTTCAGAACCCTGAGGACTATTGCTTAACCAGTGAGCAATTCATACACTTGAGTTGATTCCAGTCATCCTAGGATCCCACCATTGATGATACTGCAGCTCTAAAGCAGTGAGTCCAGGGCCTTTGCCATAGTACATGGAATGAACAACATTTGCAGGCATCTGTTCCCCTGTCCCGTTTGACCTTTCCTACTGGAATTTCCCAATAGTTCCAGAAAGTAGAGCCAATGAGGGCACCTACACTTTTAGTATAGATAGCATCATGTAGCCTTAGGGGCTATAGTCCATTACTGGCGTCAGTCTTGCAGCAGGTTGGCGGGACATGACCGTATAAATAGCACACACTGTAGAAACTGCTTCCCATAGCATGACCATGGCCCGAGTTCTTAGGTGGTTGATGCCGCTTCTCTTCTGTTTCTGTACCCAGAGTTTCCTCCAGAGGCAGACTCAGGGGGACCCACCGAGCACAGCGACGCACTCTAGTGATGCCTGGTTCCAGCAAAAGCTCGACCATTTTAGCAAAAAACGATCACGATTCTGGCAACAGGTAAATATATATATATTTATATATGGCCAGGGTTATTGATGAGAGATTGGGAACAGTACGAGTTTTGGGCCTTCCGGAGGGTACCACAGAGGTATATAATGTATAAAAGAATGGAATCTGCTTTCCTTCTCTTGGTATTACAAAACCCTGGTGTGGTACTGTAGGAAAAGAACTGGACTGTTGACTACAAGGTTAGCAGCTCAAACCCACCAGTCGATCTTCAGGAGAAAGATGAGGCTTTCTTCTCCTGTAGATTTGTTGTTGTTGTTAAGTACCGTGGAGTCGGTCCTGACTCATAGGGACCCTGTACAGGGTTTCCGAGGCTGTAAATCTTTATGGGAGCAAAACGCGTCATCTTTACTCCCGCGGAACCGCTGGTAGTTTCGAACTGCCGACCTTGCGGTTAGCAGCCTGACTCCTAACCACTACGCTACCAGAGCTCCTCCTTCTGTAGATTTACAGCCTGGGAAATCCTTTACAGCATTTCTATGAGTCAGAATCGATTCCATGGCAGTGGAAAACAAAAGGTGGTACAAATGGTTAAGTGCTGAACTATTATGTGGAATAGTGATGGCATAAACCCATCCAAAGATATTTTGGAAGAAAATCTTGACATTCTGAGTCTAAAGGACACAGCTTTGAAGCTCCAATGGAGAACAGTTCGACTCTGACACTAATGGGTTAACCATGAGTCAGAATCCATTTGATGGTAACTGGTTTGGTTTTCTGGTTTGAGGACATTTAATTCTTCGTTTAATTCTGGAGCAATATTTTCAGTTGTTTTGTGTGTTTATTTGATTTTTAAATATCATAAGATTTCTTAAAATTGATTGCCATTACTGGAAGACTGAATAAATTTGAGTTTGTTTGGCTTTTTAGGGGCAAGTTTGCTTCATAGATAATGGCATGTTCTTTCATGTAGAGATATGTAATACTTCAAATATTTTAAATATAATTATTATGGTAAAAGCTGTTATATCTATTGCTTACATATATTAATTCATCTAGGTGGGCTGCTAAATGATGATATTAATTTTTTTTTTCATTTACTAGCAGGAATGAAGGTATAAAAGAGAATTCCAACTGTGTTATTATTTGGTTATTTGGTGACACAATTTGTTTTAGAAGGCTAATATAATTATTTGACTCGGCCCTTTTATTTACCAGATTTTAAAAGGAACACAAGCATGAAAAATTTACACTATTTTAGTCATTTTTTTAACTGCATGTTACATACATAGCAGTCTCAGAAAAATAATGCCGACCCTGCCAGCATTTATAGAATTATTGAAAGATTCCTTCATCTAGTGTTTTTACCTATAGCGGAGATTTTTCATTCTATTGTTCAATTCATAGAAAAATCTTTGTCATGATTATGAACTGTTTTATTCCCATTTTTTTTTTCACCTTGACAACTTATTCTATTGATAAAGCTATTGATTCACAGGCATGCTTATACATAACAGGATTTTTTTTTTTTTTCAGAAAAGGTACAAATGATTTAGATGGCTATTTAGCAGTATTTAAAAATACATCTAGCAAAAATATGAAACTGTATATGAACAGATGCAGTCCCATTTAGAATAGGAACAGATGGAATATTAATTAAATGTCCATGAGTAGGGCACTGTACTATTATTATTATCTAGCTGTAAAAGAGAGTGAGAGACTTTTCAACATAATTGTATAATGTTTAATAATGATCTCCAAGATATCATTGTTTGTGAAAATAACAGAATGGCATATTAACAATAGGCAGAAAGAGATGAAATAGCTTTTACAAAAAGCAATGAAAAAAAATATTAAGCATGTTTATATACAGTGAGAGGGAGGTAAACATTTTAGAATATAGAAATGATATCAGTTTTCTCTGCATATAATTTGTTTTGCAGGTTTAGCTTTGGAGTCATATAAATGCTTCCAAGTTTTTGTTGTTGTTGTTGTTAAATGCCTTTGAGTCTGTTCTGACTCATAGTGACCCTGTTTAATGCTTCCAAGAAGCAACTGGTAAGCTTGAACCTCCAACCTTGCAGTTCAAACTAATCTTGCAGTCCAGTTCATTAACCCACAGAGCCACACCAGAACTCCAAATGTTTCCAATAGAACCATTTAAAATTAAAACTAAAGTGAAGAGAATGAAGCCAATTATATTTTAAGTTTGTAACTTTAACAAGAGAGATTTATTTCAAGTGAATAGAAAGCCTGGAACATGTACTTTATATATGTGATATGATAAGTCATAGGATGTACATATAATTGTTAAGAAATCAAAGTTTTCAGTAATCATATTATCACTCTTAATATTCATGTTGTTTCTGTGTGCCATGGTATTAATTCCAACACATGTGTTCTTGTTGTTATGTGCTGTGGAGTCGGTTCTGACTCATAGCGACCCTGTACAGGGTTTCCAAGGCTGTAAATCTTTATGGGAACAGAAAGCCTCATCTTTCTCCTGCGGAACAGCTGGTAGTTTCGAACTGCTGACCTTGCGGTTCACAGACCGATTCATAACCACTACGCTACCAGAGCTCCTTAATTCCAACTCATAGAGACCCTAGAAGACATTGTAGAACTGCCCTGCAGTGTTTCCTAAGCTGTAATTTTTATGAGCCCTGCTGTGGCGCTGTAGGATAATACGCTGGACTGCAAGGTCAGTTTAAACCACAAGGTTGGTGGCTCAAACCCACCAACCCCTCCTCAGAAACCCTATACAAAGTCATTAAAAGTCAGAATCGACTTGACGGCACTTGACAACAACAACAAGAACTTTTATGAGAGCAGATCACTTGATCTAGAAGAGTGACTGGTAGGTTTGAACTGCCTGCGTCTTGTCAGCAGCGAAGCCATGAATAACCTCACCATCAAGGCTTCTTTTAATATTGGCATTATTATCCTCCTATCTGTGCATTTTTACATGTTATTTATAGGAAGCAAATAATTACGTTGTTGCTACTTTATTAGGAACTCAAACTTTCAATTTCACATTCTAAATTTGAATTTGAACTATTAGCAAGAAATGTAAACAAAATAGTAGCGGATATTTGCACATCTTGAGTGTAATTTATGTCTCTGGAATGTACACTTGAACTGGTCCCTTTGATGTTGTGTTTATATTACCAGCAAAAGCAAAAAATGCATTTGCCCTGTGTGTGCATACAGTGGCATGAGCAATATCACTGATTTAGATGAAATCTCTGGATCATAACCCAAATCTGAACAAAATCATACTGCCACTCAGTTATCAGAAACCATAAAGGAATCACAAGTCCTGGCAAGTTAGTCACCAACAAGAAAATTTTACTTTCACAGAGATATTATATGAATGATGCCTTCTACAAACGTGGAGGCCCAGTGTTTCTGATGACTGGAGGACCTGTGGCTGCCAATATTGACTGGATATCACAGAAATACACTTGGATGGTATATGCTGAGAGACTGGGCGCCCTCTGCTTCTTTCTGGAACACAGATTTTATGGACAAAGCCAACCAACAGGGTAAACTTAAGGGTTTCCTTTTTGTGATTCATCTTTTTGCTGTTATGACTCTCTATAACTTAGGTAATGTAATGTTAACTTTGAATATATTCTTATTTCAGGAAGTTGAATATTTGAAAATTCAAATATTGAGAAAGAAAAACTGTAGGTAGAGGTTGGGTGTAGGAATGACATTCTTAATCAAGTGATTCATCGGAAATATCCCTTGACTAAAATGTATTCCTCATGCACTATAATTTCTTGTTGAAATTTAAATGGCATACTTATGTTCTGCCTACTCTAATGGAATTTTATAACATGAAATTTACTCTCCCTGTGGTAAATGGTTGATGGTTTTGTTAAAACAAAACCTCATCAAAGGTACCCAGATGGTCTATTAAATTTCAGGTGGAATAGGAAGGATCAAGAACAGCATACCTATTTCTGCCTCAATAGTTCATTTTGCCACTTACGTTTTTTTCTTTTTCTTCCAACAGACTTATATATATTAGTTTACTTGTTTAAATTATAAACTGTCCATTATATGAAGTCAAATAAATAAATGACGTTTTAAAGGTAGCTCTGAAGGTTTTGAAAAATCCAATTTAATCTCAAATATTTTATTCTCATTAAAATAAGTAGTACGAATTGCTTCTTATAACCCTGAGAATGTGGTTCATGCCAGTGAATGATACATTTATTATGTGAGTCATAGTAAATTTTTGTTTTTTATAAAGTTTTATTGTTTGTATGTAAAATTATGATGGACTATAAATAGCTTAGATTTTGGCCTTTCATCATCACTAACATGAGATAAATGCTAGCAAGTATTGCTAATTCTTAAATTTAAGTATTACTGTCCCTCAGATTATGCTAATTAAATTTTCAATTCGGACTTGGTATAAATATTTAACATTGTGAAAACACAATATACGTTATACTCTATGGTCAAGCTCATGTGAAGCTGCGTGTTTCTGATTTAACTGTTGTCATGAACTGTGTGTTGCTTCTTTCATTGTAGAGATCTGAGTACCTCCAGCCTTCAGTACCTCAGTAGCAGGCAAGCCTTGGCTGACATCGCCTACTTCCGAACTAAAATAGCAAAGGAAATGGGGCTGAGTAAAAATAAGTGGGTCACATTTGGTGGTTTTTATGGAGGCTCCCTTGCAGTGTGGTCAAGAATAAAACACCCCAAACTCTTTGCTGCAGCAGTGGGCAGCAGTGCCCCGATCAAAGCAAAATTGGATTTTTATGGTGAGTCTACCCATATATTGAAGAAGCCTGGTAATGCAAATGGTTAATAAGGTCAGCTGCCAACCAAGAGTTTAAAATTCTAACCATCCCAGAGGCATTTGGTGATCTACATCTGAAAAAAAATCAGCCATGGAAAATATTATGGAGCAAAATTGTACTGTGATCATCATTCCAACTCAGCAGCTTTATAAAACAAAGTAGAAGTGTGTCTCAGGGTTTTTGAGACTATAAGTCTTTACAGATCTAAATAGCCAACAGTCAGCATACATGGAAACAGCAGACAAGAAAACAATGTGCTGCAGTAGGAAAGTATGTTACAAAAGACCTTCTTTCTTTTTTTCTTTCCTTCCTTGTCTTTCTCTTTCCTTCATTTCTTCTTTCTTTCTTTTCTTCCCTCTCTCTTTCCTTTCTTCCTTCCTTCTTTTTCTTCTCCCTTTCCTCCCACCCCGATAACCACCATAGAAGGTTTATTTTAGCATGAAAATCATTTTTTGACTTTCCAAAAGACCTCTATAATGTGCTAAAAAATAATGATGTCACTTTGAGTGATAAGATGAACAAGGCCCATGGCTTGCCATTTCAATGAACTCTTCCAAATGAGAAAGCTGACAATGACTTAGGAAGACCGAAGAATTGATCTGCTTGAATTTTGATGTTGATGAAAAATATTGAATATAGCATGGACTGCCAGAATTTCAAACAAATATGTCTTCTAATGAGTAGTGCTAGGAATCTACTGAGATTTGTGGATGTCAAGACTTTATCATGTGTACTTCTGACATATTATCAAGAGGAACTAGTCCCTGGAGAGGAACATCATTCTTGGAAAAGTAGACAGCCAGTGAAAAACAGAAAGGCCTACAGAACGATGAATTGACAGTAGGGCTACAACTGTGGGTTCAAACATATCAATAACAATATGAATGGGGCGAGCCACTCAGTCTGTGTATGTATAGAGGGTCACTCTGTGTCAGAACTGACCCAAGGATACCTGACAACAATATCAACATTGTTGTTGTCAGGTGTCATTGAGTCAGAACCAACTCATAGAGACCCCATGTACAGCAGAACGAAACAATGTCCAATCCTGGGCCAACCTCACTACTGCTGCCACACTTGAGTCCATCAATGATGCCATCTGGCCAATCCATCTCGTTAGGGGTCTTCCTCCTTTTCTCTGATCCTTCACCTTACCCAGCATGACATCCTTCTCCAGCGACTGTTTCCTCCAGAAAACATGTCCAAAGTATGAGAGACGAAGCTTAGCCATCTTGGCCTCCAAGGAGCACTCTGGCTGCACTTCTTCCAAAACAGATCTGTTGGTTCTTTTGGCAGTCCATGGCACTTTCAGTATTCTCCTCCAACACCACAACTCAAAGGCATCAATTCTTCTACGATCTTCCTTATTCACTGTCCAGCTTTCGCATCCATATGAGGCTATTGAAAACACCATGGCCTGGGTCAGGCACACCTTAGTCCTCAAGCTGACATCTCTGCTCTTCAATACTTGGCTGAAAGCAGAGACTATCAGAAGGATGTTTACCTGTGCTTTATTGACTACGCAAAGGCTTTTGATTGTGTGGATCATGACAAGCTATGGACAACATTGAGAAGTATGAGTATTCCAGAACACTTAATTGTACTTCTGAGAAATCTGTACCTATACCAAGAAGCAGTTGTTCGAACAGAACATGGGAACACTGAATATCAACATAGGGACCCCGAATGTCCCATAATGGGTGGAAATTATGTGATTCATAACTGTTGATAGGATAGTGAAAGAATTCATAATATAACATTTCTAAATAACTAAATCAATAGTTCTTATTTTTCACTAAGAATAATTTCATTTCAATTTTCACTGCTAATTTCCAAATTTATGATTTAACAGTAATAATTAATGGCATTAAGAGTTTTCCAGTTGGATGAATACTCTCGATTGGCAAATTGGATCTCTGCATACATGTTGCCATTAAAATGAGTAAAGTATAAAATTTCTATGAAAACAAGCTTTTTTTTTTCTTTCCAAAAGTGAAAATAGCCTCACCCCTCAATTAAGAGTAAAATTCTCTGTAAAATGTCCTGTAATATTTCAACTTTTCATAGATACGCATGCATTCAACAATGATTTCAGATAGGATTTCTGTAACCTTGATAGAATTTTACATGGTTCTATAAATGCATCTATTTCCATTTTTTATATTCTTAGAGTACTTTGAAACAATTCACAGAACTCTCAAGAAGCATAAAAGGATGTGTTCAGTAGGAGTGAAAAAGGCTTTAACTGTAATTGTAAAGATGCTGAAGACTCCACAAAACTACAGTAAACTGGAAGATGACTTCAAGTAAGTTGATTGGTTTGCCTGTGAGAATGCCTGAGCATAAAGACAATCTGGTATTGATTTGAATTTACACCAGTAATGTCATTTCTTTATGTGAGGTTACTTGCTTGGGAAGAAAGGGAATTTAAACTGTTCTGTCCTTTTGGTAATTTGTTTATATTAACAATTTCTAGATCATATAAGAGATCTGGAGTCCTGGTGTGACACTTTAGGACAAGCATTGGACTACTAACCAAAAGGTTACTGGTTCAAACACACCGATGACTCCTTGGAAACCCTATAGAGGGTCATTGTGAGTCTAAATAAATTCAACTGCACTGAACACAACATAAGAGGTGTTGCTGGAATTTGTGTGGCTGTTTCTAAATCTGGTAGGAATTAAATCTGAATTTAAATCAGAGGGCAGAAAAAGTAGTAGTAACTACATTTGGGATTCTTAGGCAGTGAAGGAGTACCCAAAACACTTGCCTCAGGACGATAATATACCACCAGTGACCCAGATAACAAATCTTGCTAATTCCATGCCCACCACTTGTATGTCAGTCCACCACTTGTCTGTCGGTTTGTTAGACTGTGGTGGCTTGCATGTTGCTGCTGTGATTCTGGAAGCTATGCTGTGGATATTTAAAATACCAGCAGGGTCACCCATAGTAAACAAGATTCAGAGGCGCTTCCAGTCAAAGAGTGTCTAGAAAGAAGGAGATATGGACAATTTTGGAATATTTAGTCACTAAAAAACTTATGAATAGCATCAGAACACTGGTAGCACAAAAATATTGATTTTTGAACCATGATAAAGAGCACCATAATATTGATCACCAGAAAAAGAGCCCTTCAGGTTGGAAGGCATTCAAAATACGACTGGGGAAGAAACACCTCCTCAAAGTAGAGTTGACCGTGATGATGCAAATGGGAAAAAGCCACCAGGACCTTCATTTGCAGAAGCAGAACTCAAAACAAGAGGAATAGTTATAAACATCCATTAATTGTCTGAACATGGAATGTACGAAATATGAGACTAGGAAAATTGGAAATTGTCAAAAATGAAATGGATGCATAAACATGTATATCTTAGGCATTAATAAGATGAAACAGACTGGCATTGGACATACTGAATTTGACAGTCACATGGTATATTGTGCTGCGAATGACAAATTGAGGAGGAATGACATCACATTCATCATCAAAAAGAACATATCAAGATCTGTCGTGAAGTACAATGCTGTCTGTGATAGCATAATTTTCATTAGTCTATGAAGAAGACCATCTACTACTACTATTAGTCAAATTTATGCACCAACCACTAAAATTAGTGATGATGAAATTAAAGAAACAACAACCAACTTCTGCAGTCTGAAGTTAATCAAACAAAATTTATCAAGATATATTGATAATTCCTGGTGATTGGAATGGAAAAGTTGGAAACAAAGAGGAAGGATCAGTAGTTGGAAAATATGATCTTGGTGATAGAAACGATGCTAGAGACCACATGATAGAATTTTGCAAGACTGATGGCTTCATTGCAAATACCTGTTTAAAACAACATTAAAGATGACTACACACATGAACTTCACCAGATGGAATACACAGAAATCAAATTGACTACATCTGTGGAATCGGATGATGGAAAAGCTCCATATCATCAGCCAAAACAAGGCCAGTGGCAGACTGTGGAACAGATCAGTTGCTCATATGTAAATTCAGGCTGACGCTGAAGAAAATTAAAACAAATCCACAAGAGCCAAAATATGAATTTAAACATATTCCACCTAAATTTAAAGATCATCTGAGAAACAAACTTGATGCATTAGACACTAAAGATTGAAGACCAGAAGAGTTGTATGATGACATCAAGAACATCATACCAGAAAAAAGCAAAAGGTCATTAAAGAAGAAAGAAGGAAGGAAAAGACCAAAAGGAATTTCAGAAAATGACTCTGAATCTTGCTTTCCAACATAGAGTTGCTAAAGAAATGGATGATAAAAGAGATGAAAGAGATGAATAGAAAATTTCAAAAGGCAGCTAGAGAAGACAAAGTCAAATATTATAACAAAATGTACAAAGACCTGGACTTAGAAAACCATAATGGAAGAACACACTCAGCATTCCTTAAGCTAAGGGAAGTGAAGAAAAAAATTCAAGACTCAACTTACAATATTGAAGGATTCTATAGGCAAAATATTGAATGATGCTGAAAATATCAAAAGAAGATGGAAGGAATACACAGAGCACTGTTCCAGAAAGAGATGGTCAAGGTTCAACCATTTCAAGAGGTAGCATATGATCAAGAGCCAATGATACTGAAGAAAGAAGTCCAAAGTGCATTGAAGGCATTGGCAAAGCACAAGACACTAGCAATTGATGGAATAAAAAATGAAATCTTTCAACAAACTGATGCAGCACTGGATGCATTTCCTCATGTATGCCACGCAATTTGGAAGACAACTACCAACTCAGTGGAAAAGATCCATTATCTGTGCCGATTCCAAAGAGAGGTGACCCAACAGAATGTGGAAAACATCGAACAATATCGTTAATATCTGATGCAAGCAAAATTTTGCTAAAGACGATGGAAAAAGGGCTGCAACCATCGATTGACAATTGGAAAAAGTATTTGCATATTTTCTCCTATTGAATAAGGAAGCATTTGCTGTTATGAATTGGTGGTATTTCCACAGTAGTGGTCAAATTTCTTTTGTCAGTTATTTTAGCTTAAATAAAATTGTTTTAAATATTATGTTAAAATATGTTTTTGCATACTCATAGCATAAATGTTTTGAAGAAATTCAGTTTTCATTCATTTCCTACATTTGAGTTTAGAAATTTACGAAAAATCAAATTTTGCTTGTGTTTTCTGTTTTATTTTGTTTTGTTTTCACAGATTATGTAAACCTCTTAAAATTAGTTCAGTAATGGACAGAACCTTTTTCCTGGATGCTCTGATAAAAATGGTTGCATACGTTGTTCAGAATAATGGTGATAATAAACTGATTAAGGTAAGAAAATAAAGGGCAGGAAAAGGTATGGAGAAAGACAGCTCTCGTATGCATTCACTAGTTGTTGAAAGTTCATAAATTAGCTGTGTTGTTGTTTCTGTCAAGTGCTGTGGTGTGAATCGGACTCATAGCAACCCTGTATAGGGTTTCTAAGGAGTGACTGGTGCGTTTCAGCTGTGGACCTTTCAGTTCAAACCGATCTTGCAGTTTAGTGCTTATGGTACAATACACACTGAGAAAGATAAACCTGGTGTCAGTATTTGTTTTAAAAAATTAAAATAATGCATACAAGCCTCCTGTCTGAGATTCAAGTTAAATGATGAAACATATCAGCTACTGAATGATGTTAAAATCTCACCACTTCCTCTTCTTACTCATCTTTTATCCTAAATATCCTTTAGAAGCTCTTTCAAAACAATAGAATGATAGATTCACTGTTGCCTAGAACTCAGCTATTGTACTATGCTTTTGTATTTTTAAAATATTAGAAAGGTGTCCTATCAAGTATGGGTATGCCATTCCTGATCTATTTCATGATAACAATTAAAATTAAAAGATTGAATTCTGTCTTTTATTGACTAAAGAGTAAATCACAGCAAAGTTTAATGATTTGAATAAATTTCATTCAAAATATAGAATTGTTCTTTTAATAGTCCATATCTTCAAAGTTAAAGAGTTTCATAATATAACCAAATTCTATAATCAGTACTTTTTTCCAGTGTTTTTTCTTGTTCAATACTTTTCTTAAGTAATTAAGAATAATAACTGGATGCTAGTTGAACAATGCGATTAATGTAATTAATGTCTCTGTACATAAGAGGATTTTAGAAATGGGAAATGTTCTGTTACCTTTGTACATATCATTGAAGAAGGAATATAAGAATGATCATGATAACAATGATGATTTTTATTAATTGATTTTTCTTTCTAGGCACTATCCTTATGGTTGATTTTGTTTAATCGTCACAGTAATCATATGAGTAATTCTGGTTAGATTATTCTTATTTTCTGTAGTAAGCACATGAACAAACAAGTTCAGATGGCTAGCTTATTCAAGGCACACTTCTAGACCTGTTTAATCATTCTTTTAGACATTGGCTATCCTTGACACCATGTTTACATACATGCTGTTCCCCACTAATAAATGTGTTCTCTTTTTATTGTTGTAAAAATATAAAGAACATAATATTTGCCAATACAACATTTTCCCAATAAACAATACAGTAAAAGCATTACATTAGTTATAGAGTCCAACAATGACCAATATCTATTGAGGATTTTCAATCACCATGAAAACCACGATTAAACTCTAATCTTTATTCCTTCGTCTATTCTAGTTTCATATTTGTGAAATCATACAAATTCACTCCATCTATTTCTGTTTATTTAAATATGAACAATCTTCCAGGTCTGCCTCAATGTCCACCTTCTTAAAACACCTTTTCTCCTGGTTCTAGTTCTCAATGTCTTCTCTAAGAATCCCCAGAATAATCATTAAATGTTTTCCTATTGTTTGTATCTTGTCATCTATGAATTCCTCTAAAGGATTGTTTCTCAGCCCTTTAGAAGATTTGCTCTGGCAAGATACTGGGCGCCAGTCAAAGCCTCCTTATTATTAACCTTTTCAAGCCAATCACTGACCTGAGCACAAAAAGTCCTTGTTATAAGTGCTGTTGTGAGCTGTAGATCTCCCATGAGGGAAGTCAGTTTACTGACAGATAATAGATTCTGCAACCTGTTCACATGAGTTGGTGATTTTCAGGATTTGATCTCCAGGCCAAGAGATCAAACAGCATTTGCATCTTATTTGACTTAAAAGCAATCAACTGAAGCATGTAAAAGCATTTTTTGAGTTGAATTCCATTGGACATTTTAAGCCATCCCATGTATATTCTCTATAGGATAATTGGAGTCTCGTTTTTCACAGGTGGAACAGAATGGCATCACCATTGATGGCTTTTGTGACGTGATGACTAACAGATCACTGGGTTCATCATATTATAGATATGCAAAATTTGAAAATATGATGCTGAAAAATCGAAATCAAACTTGCCTTTGTGGAAATTACAATGATTACCTAGAAGTTATGGTTGACTCTTCCTTGAGAAAGCAAAATCTTAAAGAAGGTATAATGTTACTTGGTAAAAATGGAAATTTTCCCTTTGGGATTGAGAAAAGTAAGTACAAAAACGTGCATTAAAAACTGCAAGACTCCTTATAACATGGAGCAACTTGGAGGTCATCATGCTTAGTGAAATAAGTCAGCCACAAAAAGAAAATATTGTTTAAGATGGCTATTATAAAAGGTAAAAAAGAAAAGAAAAAAGTCTTTACATTGAAAAAGACATTCTTTGATGGATACCAGTGGAGGGGAGGGACGTGTGGGTCACAGGGTGTAAGGGTAGATACATGTAAAGTTAGGTGAAGGGGAAAATGAAAACAAAACAAATTTTATTGCAGAATTACATTTCCTTAAGGAACTCTGGTAGCGTAGTGGTTACAAATCGGGCTGCGAACCTTAAGGCCAGCAGTTCGAAACTACCAGCTGCTCCGCGGGAGAAAGATGAGGCACTCTGCTCCTGTAAAAATTTATAGCCTCGGAAACCCTGTACAGGGTCGCTACGGGTCGGAACCGACTCGACGGCACTTAACAATCAACAATCAAAATCACCATGCTTAAGGAGTTGTGGTGTGGTTCTATAGGATAAGCACAGGAACACAAGGTTGGTTTGAACTGCAAGTGCTCCTTAGAAACCCTGTGCCGGGTCCCCAACTACATGTATTGACACAGTGTCAGCAGCAATATGCTCAGGTGTGGCAACGATTGTGAGGTTGGCGCAGGGCCGGACAGTGTTCCATTCTGTTATGTATAGGGTCGCTATGCGTCAACTCAAGTTTCAATCCCAGAATGCTTCAGAGAGCATGAAGATGGTGAGAAACTTGAAAGTATCCCTCTTTCAAGAAGCTTTACAGAGAAGAGCCTGGCGCATTCTGAGGCAGTTAACAGGAGGAGGATGCAAATGGAATGGAGCACGTTCCCAGTTGATGGCGTTGTTGTTAAGTGCAGTTGAGTTGGTTCTGACTCATATTGTTCCTGTACAGGGTTTTTGAGGAGCAGCTAGAAGGTTTGACTATCCAACCTATTGTTAGCAGTTCAATGCTTATCCTATAGCACCACACGAGGAGTACATGTTCCCAGTAGAGGCTGTAAATATAGAACAGAGAGGGGACAGACCTGAGGTGACCCTCAAAGTGGTTCTGGGGGGAATGAGGGAGGGTTACAGGCCAGCATCTCCTGATCATTGCGCATGGTTGCAATATTTGGTATGGCAATGTCAGATATGACCCAAACTAACCTTAATATTGAGGAGATCCAATCTGTTTTAGAAAGTCAGGAGAGGTATATACATTATATGCTATTTGTTATTAAGTACTGTAGAGGCAGGTTCTGACCCATAACAACCCTGTATAGGGTTTCTGAGGAGCAGTTGGTGAACTTGAACCGCAGGCCTCCTGGTTCAAGCAGACTTGGCAGTCCAGCGCATTCACCAACAGTGCCACACAGAGTACTGAGAATTTTTTACCTTTTAGGTTTTGGTCACCAACAAAAATATCATCTCTATTTATGTCAGTTGATGTTTTGCTTTTTAGAAAGGCAGTGGCTGTATCAATGCTGCACAGAATTTGGATTCTTTCAGACCATGGATTTAAAGAATAAACACAACTCTAATTTGCCACTCAGGTAAAGGCTCTGAATTCACTTTGTTTGTCACTAAATACTGTGATTTAATGGTTTTATGCGTTTGCTTGTTTTGGTTTGCTTTGTATATTTAAAGGGAAAATTAAATTGAACAAATTGGCTAATCCCAAATTTATAAAAATTTAAGGGAGTAATCTTCCTGGATTGGAAGTATGAAAGATGTAAATATTCCAATAAAATATATTGAACCAAATCTCAGATTTCTGAATTTCCCTTATCATATGTAGTAGCTGCCAGATAACATATTCCAACTTCTAGAAGATAAATATAATGAATACATTAATAATCTTAGTCTTACTTGTTGGCATTACAGGGTTATTTTATTTAATATTATTTTACCAACAAGGAAATTCATGTGCATCTTAAAATCCAAACAAGGAGCATGAGTGACCGCAAAGCAAGTTTGCAAATAAAAGAAGGCATGCTGTTTCTGTAGTTTATATTTTGGGTTAGCCAAGATTTGCTGGTTGTACAAAGCAGGGCACGGAGTTCTAGTAGCATAGTGGTTATGAGTAAGGCTGCTAACCTCTAGGACAGCAGTTCGAAGCTATTAGCAGTCCCGTGGGAGAAAAATGAGGCTTTCTGCTCCTGTAAAGCCTTCTTGTTGTTAAGTATCATCAAATTGGGTCCAACCAATAGCAACCCTGTACAAGGCTTCCAAGGAGGAACTGGTGAGCTTGAACCACCGACCTTATGGTTCAAACCAACCTTGCATTTCAACACGTTAACCCGCAGGCCACCAAACTCAGAAATCCTATACAGGGTTGCTATTGAGTCAGAACTCACTTCACAGCATATAAGCAACCCACCAACCATAAAACAGGACAAATATCACATTGTCAACTTTATTGTTATTGTTTTATGATCCTTTGTTCATGTTTATTGACTTTCTAGAGGAAGATATAGTTTTGACATCTAGAATTTTTAATAGAAGCAGAAATTTATAAATTAATCAATTTGAAGAACTTTTAATGCAATTTCATACTTAAAATTGCGAGAAGGGGATTCTTTATTTTATTTGAGTGTGTATGTGTCTCTCACCAGCCACTCCTTAGATACCCTATACAATGTTGCTATGAGTCAGAACAGACTCTAAGACACTTCACAAAAAACAAGCAAATGCATGCATCCCTGGTAGTGCTATAGGGTAAACACTGGATTGTTAACTGAAAGATCATTGTTCAAACCAACCTGCTGCTCCAGGAGAGAAAGGGGAGATTTTCTGCTCTGGTAAAGATTTACAACCTCAGAAACTCTGTACAGGGTCATTATGAGTCAGAATTGACTTAATGACTGTGAGTTGGTTTGAGTTTGAGATGTGTGTATGCAGCTATGTTATTCATGAAAATGCAGAGGACTGTATTATGTCAAAAATATCTTGAAGCATAAAATTATGATAAAAGTATAAACTTAGGGGAAAAACTCATATGTACTTGGAGTTGTAATTCTTCCTTACAAAATCCCCCAAAATTCAAATTCCCAAATGAGAAAGGGAAATATGATCTAGTCAAAGTCAAGTGTATCAATTGGACTACACGTTTATGAGTATTGTTTAGGGTGAGGGTATCTGTATTAGGACAGACACCTACAGTAGCCTCAGTTTTTTAATGTCAGTTTCACCACTGTGGAGAGAAGACTCATCCACCTTTGATGTCTTTGTTCCTTTACAGTATTTTTTGCACATAAAACACAGTAGAAGAAATCTTACTTTTTCCTTGGTTTCCTCTTCAGTCTTTCTTTAGGATTCCAGACAACTTAGGGTGTGACCAACTGGAACTGGTTGTGTTTGAAGAGCTCTGGGGGTGGCAGGTGGGGGCATCTTAGCATCAGGAGCAGTCTTTGGCTCTCCCAGCCTCTGTTCTCTCGTTCTCTTTAACAGACAGGCAGGCTATGCATTGAACTTTCTTCCTCCCAGAGTGGTGGTTAGTCCAGGTACAAATGTGGGCTTGCTACTGAGGTGATAAAGAATCGGCATTTCTCTGTTCTTTGTTCTGAAGCTCTAGGTGCCACCAGGAAACAGTAGCCCAATCAATTTTGTCTATAGGATTTTCACTAAGTGTATACATTGGGTTGATCATGGTAAAGAAAAACAGGTACATTCCTCAGTACTTAGCTAATAGAAAATCTCATATGAAGGGTAGCTGCACCCGAATGGGTATATAGATGATAGATGATAGATAGATGATAGATAGATAGATAGATAGATAGATAGATAGATAGATAGATAGATAGATAGATAGATAGATAGATAGATAAACAGATTGGTAGATCAATCAATATATCGATTGATTGACCAATGGATAGAAAAGATAGATAGATGATAGATATGAATAATTTCCTTTTTGAACTCAAGAAAGTCCTTTTAGCTCTTTTGAATAGCTCAGATTCTCAGGGGAAAACAAAATAACTAAAAACAAAAACACTCTTTCTATATATGTTTTTCTCACACTCCTCAACCCTGATGGCAAATATCTACCATTTTGTCTCATCTTTGCAGATATTTTATCAAGCAGTGTTCAGATGTCTTTGGCCTTGACTTCAAAGTCAATTCACTGGCTCGAGCTGTTTCTTACACCAATGAATATTATGGAGGCTTCAATGTAAATGGAAGCAAAATCATACTTCCCAATGGTTCCACGGATCCTTGGCATGTTCTGGGAATCACAAAGAAAATCCATAAAAAATTCCGTGCTGTCTTCATTAAAGGTAAATCAGTTGTGAATAGTCAAAGATGCCAAAATAGGATGAAATATTTCAGTGTATAATAATAAATTAGTGAACAACAGTGGTTCTGTGGTTGAATTCTGGTCTTAAAGGCAAAAGCATCAGAATAGATTCCAGGTCAATGTAACTCCTGTACATCCATCACAAATCTGTCATTTGAGACATGTGTCTCTGATGTTGATTAGGTTTCAGTGGAGCTTCAACACTAAGATGTACTAGGAAGAAAAATGTTGTTGTTGTTGTTAAGTGCTGTCGAGTCGGTTCCGACCCATAACGACCCTGTACAGGGTTTCCGAGGCTGTAAATCTTTACGGGAGCAGAACGCTTCATCTTTCTCCCACGGAACGGCTAGTAGTTTCGAACTGCTGGCCTTAAGGTTTGCAGCCCGATTCATAACCACTACACTACCAGCACTCCTATATGGGGACTAACTTCCAGAAATCAGTCACTAAAGCCTCTGGATCACAATGGTGATCTGCAACCAATCGTGGCAATGGAGCAAAAAAAAAAAAAAATGCAGCCTTTGATTTTCTGTTATGTATGGCATCAACATGAGTTAGGGGCTGACTTGCCCACAATTAACAACAAATTATTAAATTGCCTTTAAAATTCTTATTGACAAGAAACACAAAATATTTCTAAGCAAATGATAAGTAGATAATTTTATCTTTAGTAGTATTTCATCATCGTGTTTACATTAAAAATGTTGGGTTGTTAATGACCATAAAGTTGACTCTGACTATTAGTGACCCTATTAACAACCAATGGACTCCTGGTATGGCACTGTAGGATAATCACTGGGCTACGAACCAAAAGATGGCAGTTCAAACCCACCAGCCACTCCTCAGAAACTGTATGGTCGCGATGAGTCATAATCCACTCAACAGCACTTAACAACAATGTCAACCGAAAGAAACACTCCCAGATCTTGTGTCATCTTCACAATTGTTGTTACGCATGAACACATTGTTATGGTCACTGTAACAATCCATTTCATTGAGAATTTTCCACTTTTTGATTGATTGAACAACTTTGTTGTTGTTAGATGCCATCAAGTCAGTACCGACTCATAGCAACCCTATGCACAACAAAGTAAAACACAGCCCAGTCCTGGGCCAACCTCACATTTGTTGCTACGTTTAAGTCTGTTGATGCTGCCACTGTGCCAATCCATCTTGTTGGGGGTCTTCCTCTTTTTCTCCAACCCTCCACTTTACCAAACATGATCTCGTTCTCTAGTGAACAAGTCATTGGCTTTGTGTGATTCTATTTTATGTGATATTCAGGGCCATTTCTACCATTGAGTCTGTATTTCTCAACTGCTGATCCTTCTTATTTGATTCCAACTTTTGTATTGCTATAATCAGTAATCACAATACATTTTAATCTCACGTTCTATCAATTTCAGACTCAAGATATTGGTAAAAATCTTCCATTTCCTCATCTTTGCCATGAGCATTTGGTGCATAAATTTGATTAATAGTTATATTAACTTGTCTTCCCTGTAGGTGTGGGGCTGTAGTTCAGAATAGATCTTGAAATATTATTTTTACTGATGAATGTGGTTGCATTTCTTTTCAAATTGTCATTCTTAGCATAGTAGGCCATATGATTATCTGATTCAAAAAGGTCATGACCAGTCCATTTGATCTGAGTTCTATTTCATTTTTGGCAACTTTCAATTTTCCTACTTCATAAATTCCCCTTTTAGATTGTTATTGGATGTTACAGTTCTTTCTTCTCATGTTGAACCATGTTTCATCATCAAAGGAACGTCCTGAAACCTTGGCTGTATCCATGCCATTGTAGTTGACTATTTTGATAAGGCATCTCTACAACAGTCATATTTGAGTGTCTACTCACATGAGGGGCTTAATTCCTGGCATTATATCAGACAACATTTCACTGCTATTCACAAGATTTTCACTGGCGAATTTTTCAGAAATGGACCAACTCTTACCTACTTCTAATTTGTCATAGTATGAAAACTCTGCTGAAACCACCAGAGATGAAGGTGCTCATATTTGAAATAATGGTGACATAGCTTCAAACATAACAAAAACAGTCAAGCCCCCAAGCATAGTACTCCTGAAAGTTGAATGGTGGCTTATATGTTTACCCAACATTAATCTACAAAGCAGCTAGCCTCTTTGATTCAAATTCATTATGTTATTGAACTATTCCTCATTCTTATTTATGACTGCACATTTTAATCACTTTTTAAACAGATTACAAAAATGACTGCTATCCAGTCACACCCCAGACTAATTAAATCAGAACTTCTGAAGGATGGGATGCAGATACTAGTTTTACCCAAATAGATTTCCAGGTGATTCTACTGTGTTGTCAGGGGTTACCTATGGTCTTGCATACTTGGTATGTAGACATTCAGACATTTCTGTTTCTATTTTTAGGTGGAACACACATGGCAGACATGTTTGTACAAACTGATTTTGATTCAACTGAACTACTTCAAGCACGAGAAAAGATTTTTCAGATCCTGAAAAAATGGCTAAAATTATAAACCTCTCTGAAAGAAAGTACAACAGAACCCAAAATCTGTACTCCCATTCAGTTGCTCAAATGTAGAAGCTCCTACCAGGAAGAAATTTGTGCAGACATAAAAGTCTAATTCCTCTATATATGGGTTTTTGGTTTTATTTCAATGATAGCTCTTCTTCTTCCTCCCATCTTGCTGGTCTTGAGAAACACGAGATCATACCAACACAAAATAAATTAATTACCCTGGAGAAACTGCTGCAACCAGTTAGTTAATTGATATGGGTCAGAAGCTTTATATCTTGGGATTTCCAGAACAATCTTTATTTCATAATTTATTATTTTCAACAAGGCTAATTATAACACATAAATATAATGGTACTTTTATTCATTTTTGCTATGAAGTAATTCATAAGCAGGAAAAGTATTTTGCCAGATGAGTAATCCTTCCCTTTGTTAAGAAAATTCATGAACAGGTAAAACTTAAGTGAATTATTTTTTAAAACCATTGAAGTATGTTAAATTTTGTTTAGAAAAATTGACTGTACCAACAAACCTTCCTTGGAAATTCTTGTACAACTTTAAAATGGTGCAACTGTGCCTACTATAAAGTCAAGTTAAGCTCAACATGAAAGATAACAGCAGCTCTCATTTGAAATTCCATTTTAATTCTGTCCAAAACAGTTTATTTTCAGTTCATTTGAAGAAAACCCAATGTAGAGCTTCATGTCTATAACCTAATTCAAAGGTATTATTACTTAGTCAAATGGTAGGACTTATTTCCTTCAAAAGAAGATATGTACCTAATCTCATTATACCTAAAACTCTTCAATTACTACATCAAATTTAAGTCTATTTATCAATAATATTAATATAGTAATGTTGGTTACTTGGTTTTGACAAGTGTATAATTAGTCATAATATTAAGAGAATCTTTTTGAGCAAATAATGATACTGTTTGTACTATCTTTTCAATTTGTATGTAAACCTAAAATTATCTTAAATAAAGTGAGCATAAATAAATCAATTGTGGTCATTCATTTTAATGGATTAATTAATTCTATGATATTCACTGGATTGCTAAACACAAGATCAGCAGTTCAAACACATCTGCCACTATGTGGAAACCCTATACATGATTGCTAAGAGCAGGAATTGAATAGATGGCACTTAACAATATCAACAGTGGATACTGAGATGCATTATACTGATTGTGCTAAATTTTACAATGAAAATAATTTGAACTTTGGAAATCTGCCTTTGCTTTGGAGTTTCATACAGAGTCTTAAATTTATTCTAAAGAATTATATAAATGGACACATTTTATAGTATGTATGCCCTCTTTGCATTATCTGTCATTGTTCTTGTTGTTAAGTGCCATTGAGTTGGTTCCAACTCATAATGAAAATGTATAGGGTTTCCAAGGAGTGACTGGTGAGTTTGAACCACTTACCCTGCAGTTCAAACCAACCTTTTGGTCCAGTGCTTACCCTACAGGGCCACACCAGGACCCCTTGCACTGTTTATAACACCTAAAATGCTGTAACTTTCATTTTGACCAAACCACTGTGGAAATCTACATGGCAGCATTGGTTATTCATGAAGTATTGAATTTCTTAACTTCAGATTTCATATTATTGCATCTGAAGTATTGGGATCCAAATGTTTTCATTTTTATGGTAATCACATTGAAATTTGGATTACACGCTTATAATAAAACTCTTTTTTACTGTGCCTAATCTGTTTTAATTGCTATATTTTTTTTAAGCTATAATCAAATGCTTCATTTCTTAACAATCACAGGTTTCAACATGAGCATGAAATGGGACAGTAAATATAACCTGTGGGTTTTTAAGTGCAAAACTCCCATTCTTCAATTGTGGCAATGGAAACGTTCTGGCAATATCTTAGTTGCATTTCCCAGATACATTTGTTACCTGAAAAGAATCAATATAGAATGATTAAAACATGATAGTTTATGTAGCAGTGCTTAAAATATAGAAAAGTTTCCATTAATTTCTTATAAAGTCTGTGTAGACAGATTATAAACATTTCTTCCTGAAGATGAGCATTAAACCACAAAATGGCCAACAAAAAGCCCAGAAAAACTGAACCTACCAATTACGTTTTATGGCTTATGTTAATAGTAACTTACTATATATTTTTCCTTTTGCTTTTATTTTTTTACCTTTCAAAAAAATTATATTTTTTCCCACCAATCATGCATTTTGCTTCATCTCAATGATTACACTCCCCTCCCAATAACAACGATTATCCTGCTTCTGCTCTGTGGTTTTTCTTTTACATCTTATTTATCACAAATGAAAAAGCAAAAATATTTGATGCACACATGCAAAACAAAAAAAAATATATTCATTTAATTGTCTAAGGAGCACATTTAGCAAGCCAACCTCGAGTCCACATACACACAGCCTTTCTCTGTCCATGGGCCTAGAGTCCACAGCTGCTCTATTTCTCCATGCCATCTCCTCGGCTTCCATCTCTGCTGTTGCTGCTTTTCTGGGTAGCATCTCATGTTGCATTCATGCTCTTCCCTCTTGATGGTCGTAGGGTCCTCTGTTCCTGAAATGAAAGATTAACTCTTCTTCCCTTTTAATTACACATCTTCTACAATTACAGTTGTGACTATTTCAATTAATCCTGATAGCAATTACTCACAATTGAATCATAAAATCATATCACCATCAACCCCTACCCCTTTCACCAGTCTCATCTGGAGAAGAGGAAAACTATTCAGTGGGTATTCTATCTTACTCCCCTCATTCTGAAACTAAGCACTCATGAAAGCTTGTAATCCAGTCACTCCATGCCTTTATAGTTCACCATTTTTGATAGCCACTGTCTAAGTTGCCTGACCCTATCAATCCAGGAAACAAGCTTGATTCTTGATATGAAGAATCTTCTTTTTTGGTTGGAATTTTGAGCAACTGCATTCATAAGCAAAGGTCCTGTTCATCAGACTGTAACTATTTACCCTTGCTCCCAGTATCAACATTCTTTATGTTCATTTTGTCAAGCTCTGGTCAGCTAGTCATCCAAGCTAGCTATAATGGGAACTGCAAGTTTGGGAGTTCTCACATGTCTCACCACACTTCAGACTATCTAACTGCTTCACTATCAGCTCTAGACCCCAGTGGCTAGGTCAGTATCCATGGGCTCAGGAGTTCACACATCTCCCAACCTTCAGACCAACCAGCCCTTCCTCTTATCTCTCTCATCTTAAGGTGAACAGGTGTCAGTGGACCATGGTCAGACTCAGTCCATATCTTCATTGTTGTATTTCCCCTACTTCCACTCACAAGTATGAGAAAGTAGAAAAGATAAGATCTAGGTAAAAGAGTATAATATGTGTATATATCCTCTCAGATACATTGCAGAAATATTGTTCCCAATCTGTGGATCCTCTTGGTGAAATATTTTAATGTACAAAAATGTCTAATTTTCAGGAGACCCCTATCATCTATTTTGTGTTCTGCTGTTTGTGTGTTTTAAGGTTTTTTTGACAGTATATTTATGCCATGGGTCAGAGCCCATAAACTTGTTCATATTTTTTTCATTTCTAGTCTTTATAGTATCTAGGTTTTATATTTAGGTCTTTAATCCACATTGAGTTCATTTATTATATGTGGTGTGAGTTATGGGTCTTGTTTAATTTTACTATAATTGGATTTCCAGTTTTGCAAACACCAATTGTTGAAGAGACTATTTCTTCTCCCAATTAAATGTGTTTACTTCCTTTGTCAAACATCAATTGACATTGGATGGGTTTACTTCTGAGTTCCAATTCTGTTCCATTGAGTTATGTGGTTTTTGTTGTACCAGTAGCAGAGTGTTGTACTGTTTTGACTACTGAGACTGTAGTAAACTTTGATACTAAGAAGTGAGTGACTTCTGACTTTACTTTCATATTAAAAATAAAATAAAATAAAATTTAGTAGTGTTTTGTTTACAACAGGTCTCTTTCCTTTGCACATAAAGTTAGTGATGAGTTTTTCCATCTCTTCAAATGGTGATATGAAACTCCATATTGGGATTGCATTTTACCTATAGACTGCTTTGACTAGTAATGACACTTTTACAACATTAAGTCTTCCTAACCAGAAGCATAGTATATTCTTCCATTTTAATAA